TTTTAATAAGACGAAAAAATATATCGGATTTATAATTAGGTTTCAGCTCAGACTCAGCAACGATGATAAAAAGATTTAACTTATTTCTTAAATTCTTAAAAACAAAAAAATACAATAATCCCCCTAACTAAATCTGTAAGTACAGAGAAATTTTGATTGAGAAATTTAAGAAAATGATTACCAGGTTTACACTTATCATCACTCTACCGACTAATCAAACTCTCTAACATCTAATTTTAAATTATCAAGCCGGATCCGGTTAAGATGGATTTGACCAGCTAGGGCTATTATTATGACCACTGTACATTGGCGTTGAGGACACATCTCAAGAGATTTAGCTGCTCGTGTAAGATAAAGAAAGAGTTATGGTGTTTCAAATCATATGCAAGTCTTGCTCATGGCAAGAAGATGCCTGTGTTGGAAATCAAATGTTGCAGAAACCTTAAACCATAATTAACCACAAAACCCGCTAAATCTAATCAAATACAACCACCAAAAGTGAAAAAAACAGATATTAACACTTCATTATATCGTTGGTGTGATTAGTGAGGTTTAGACGAAAGATTAGATTTACCTCGGTTGGAAAGAAGACCAGCGGAACGAGACTTGAGGTTCACGAGTCTTTTGGAACTGAGTGTGACTTGTCGAGAGCATCCTTGGTCTTAGAATCAACAGCATCCTTGATCTTCTGTTGTGGATCTTCACTAGAATCAACCATGTGTTTTTTGTCGGATGACTTACTACGCTTAGAATAGGTAACCAGTTTGATTACTCTCTCCGGCTTATTTGCAGACTCTTCATGATCCTTAACATGAGACGGTTTTGTGTTATTCGTAAACTTTTCATGAGCCACCACTGGCTCAGACCCACCTGGCTTGCTGGTTAAACATTTGGATGAATTAGTACAGTCTGTGTTGACCACACCATTCACATCTTCGCTAGGCTCTGAATAATTGAGTTTGCTGTTTGAACATTCTAACTTCTCGGCACCATCAGTCGCTTTGTCTCTGTTTATATCTGTCGTACATTCAGCTGTACTGTTCCCTGTGATTTCGTTTACTACACTTTCTGGTTTCTCATCAGATGCGATTTCTAATTCCACTGCAGCATCACCAGTGATACTACAGTCATCTACTTTGGCATCACGAGTCTCTTCTTCAGTTACATTATTTGACACCTCAAGAGAGTCGCTATTTATTCCTTTGGCTGCTTTCTCTTCCGAAATCTTGGTAGAGTTGGAGGCTTCTACATCATTTTCTTCTCCAATTCGGGATTCAGACTCACCAGCAATTTCATCACTAGGTTTATCATCAACTGCCATTGGTCTAATGTCTCCCGGTAATTCTGTCCGAGATTCTAGGGATTTTCCCGAATCTACATGCCGATCACAAGCTAGCGGCGGTTCCAGATCAATAGGTTTAGGAGTACTCGATTCTAGTTTCCCATCAGTTTCCATAGCTTCAGACGTAGTCTCTGTTCTGCTGCAAGATTCAGTTTTTCCTACTGCATCATCTTCCCTAGCCTCCTCAGTTTCGGAATGGTCAGCTTCTTTGGAACCATTTTCAATATTTTCTGAAGAATCAACCATATCTTTATCACCAGAATCAACCATAACTTCATCAGTTCTAGATTCTGAGCACTTGGAATTAACATCATCTTTTTCTTCAACTTCCATTGGCTCAGAGAGATCCATGGACTTATTCTCTGAAGATATTAAACAATCTTTGTCGCCAGGCGCTGAGGATGGTGAATCAACAGAAGTAGTAGTGTTGTGTACTAAATTTTTGGGTGAATGAATCAGGCTTCTATATTCATAGTACGCCTCCACCTGTGGATATCCAAACATATCAAGAATAAACTAAGAGAGATCAAAATTAGGAATGTCGTCATTCACTGTAAAACTACCTTTGGTCTCGGAGATACAGCTTCGAACACATGAATTTCAGGCTCCTCATATTCGGGGATTTGCAGAATTATGTAGGCTCCTTTGTTGTTGATTCTCTCCTCTGTATCCTGCATACATGACAACAAGTACTCAGGCTTGAGTTAAGGCTCCAACATAAGTCACAACATCTACAAGATATGAGAAAGTGTTCCGGTGTGTGCTGAAAGATAACATGAAAACAGGCTTACTATGGGTTGAATATAGCCAATACGAATATCAAAGAGAGCATACCTGAAACTGAGGATGATCAGGAGCACTGAACAAAGTTAATAGCCCTTCATGGTCTTTTACATATCCGTCATTCATAGGTGGAAGACCGTCTCGGTTTGCTCTTTTGTCAGGAGCTTCCTTCCCTCTGATGATCAACTGCCATAGAAAGAAATGACATCATGATGCTGAAAGAGTAACAGAAATACCTCACTTGGTTTAAATATCCAAACAAGAACGGAAGTGTTCTGATTATATAGCAAATATAAGCATTTGGTTGATGAAAAAAACCACTCGATTCTTCTATCAAATTCTCAATGCTTCAAGGTGCGATCTTTTTGACAATTTCGTTTCACGGAAACCAATCGATCTCACCTTTAGCTCATTGTCTTGCAGGAACTTTGCAGTGCAATCAGGACCCCACAACAAACCAACGCCTTTCTCTTTGTTAAGAAAGAGCCCGGTGTCCTTCGACGGATCTGACCAAAGAATGTCACCAGGAATCAAGTTTGAACCTTCAGCAGGAGGATCCATAACACGCCTTTTTACTTTGGATAAATCCTTCAACGAGCCAAGAGGCAAGGGCTCAGATCTATCTTCAGTTTCAAGAACACTATTATCCGCTTGCTTTTTCTGACTTCGCTTGCGTTTTCTGCTTCGTTCTTGTTTATCTGAGAGAAAGCTTGATACATCCCGAAAAAGACCTCCATGAGCTGTAAAAACCTTCCCACCAATCACAGAAGCCAAAGGGAGTAACTGGAAGCATTCCAAGCACTTTTTGTAGACAGCTGCTCCTTTATCTCCATACTTGGTTAACACTTCATTTTTAAACCCATATAGTGATGTACAACTTTCGCTCTCGTGACTGCCACGTAGAAGATACACTCTTTCCGGTAGAAACACCTATAAAAAAAAAAAAAGTGCCCACTATTAGAATCTGTCAAATATGCAAATGTACACAAAATCAATTTAAAACAATTAAGGGATGATAAGCTTACCTTCCATGATAAAAGAAGCAAGAAAGTTTCTAAACCCCACGCTCCTTTGTCTACATAATTCCCATTGAACACGTAGAACTGGTCACCATTCGGGAATCCGGCATCCTGCATAAGGAACAGCAAATCATGTAGCTGCCCGTGTAGATCTCCAACCACAACGACCTTTGCTTTGTCACTATCTATCCTAACGCAATTTGGCTCCTTTTTCAAGATTTTGGAAGCAGAGACGACCAGCTCATCCAAGACATTAAAAGGCAAAACACTTGAAAATTCACAAGGTGGAAGATTCCTCGAAGACCAATCAAATCCCAACATTACATCACAGATCCAACTGAAAGTTAGCTTCCCTCCCGAAGGCCAGAAGAGAGGTTTCTGAGAAACTGATGGTAATGATTGCTCACATCCTATATCCTGAACAGGTGGCATCACTTCCAAGGGTTCTACAGAGATACCATCATCAGTCCCAGTTTCATTCAAAGGTAAGCATACGATTTCTCCAGACGATGGCTTTTGCGATATTTCTGTAGGCGTAGGTTGAGGTAACATCAGAAATGGTTCTGGAGTTGGAGCTTGAGCAACAGAGCCTATAGCAAAGGAGATACCCACGTTAAAAAGGTAAAGTGTCGAAAAAACTTGTTAGGACACACCATGTAATTAAGTTGTATAATCATATCAAGAAGGCGTGGTTTGAATTAAGTAATTTTATATCATCTAAGGAGAAAGGAATATCTCATCTACTATTATCAAGTCCTTTCTTCTCTTGGTTACAATCTAATAAATTACCAAGCCACTATAAGTATAAGTAGAAATCAAAAAGGAATTTTAGCCTAAGAATGATTCTTAGTTCTTATGGAAATCCTACCATTAGATAATGAGCCTAAAGGTGCATTGAGTTGAAGGGCGCCTGCACACATATCAACGATATCTTGTAATGTTTGTCTAGCGGTGTCAACAGTAAGTTCCTCTTCAAGCGAAGCCTTAGAACGAGCATGAATGGCTGCAACTCTCTGAACCTGTAATTTTATATTGGTTAATGAGATTTAAGCAAGCAGGAAAACCGTAGAATTTATGATGTTGATCATTATAACTTACAAGCACTTGGAAAGCAAAGCCAGTGGGTAGAAACTGCCCAGGGCGCCTCTCGTTCATAGGACTAATGATTCTTCTAGTAATTCTGCGGTACCACTCCATATAAGGATCATTATAATCCATTGGGATACACTCTGGTTCACCAAAAGCAACAGTTGACTCACGTGCCTCCCACAATTCGATATGTTTACTATGACGAGCTGACCAGTCATATTCTGATTTGCCTCTTTTGTCAATAGCATGAAGAGCTTTTTCATTATCACAAGGTGCTGGAATTGCTTGGTGAAGACCAAACTGTCTCAGTACACGATCAGGACGATGCCACTCAACAACATCAAAACAAATTAAGGGTGCGACGGTTCGCCATATGTTTTGACCACTAAGACATATAAGAGGAAGCTTTTCTAGAAGATCCGGAGTGTAAGGCTGCCACATGACCTACATTCACATTAT